GATTGGCATTGAAGAAGAGAATAAAAATGGTGTGAACTTTCAAAACAATAAAAAAATCTTATCAGTAAAGTAACGTGCAGTTTCAATAAAGTCGAAAACACTTAAGGATAATACAAAGTCCTTCATATATGACACTGCAAGTAATCAAATGCTGCTCTATTTCTCTCTATACCAGGCTTTTGTTTATTCTTCACAGACGAGGATATAACATAGACAGGATTTTTGCTTTTGACGTGGCACTAATTGGTATTTACTCCGTTTTGTAGGAAGTTGATACCAAAGAAGAGGTAAATGTATTACACAACTGCAAATTTTTGATAAGCATTTATGACGAAAGTCATTTATTGAAAACAAAAGGGAAATCAAAAAATAAAATAATTAAAAAAAATTACAAAAATGTTAAACATTTATAAAATTAATTATTCAACATTTTTTTTAATATTAATATCTAATTTCGAAATTGATTTCTTTAACACATTAATATATTATAACCTCATCGAATTTATTTCATATCCAAAGCAAATTAAATAAGTTTAGATTTGTCCCTTTAGACGGATTTTATAAAAGTGTTGGAGTATCCTGTAATATGCAACTTAAGGATGTAAACTGAACCAACCAGAAATGTCGACCCTTATCAGTTAGTTAAAATTTGGGATAAATTTATTTGAACACGTGTTTTCCTTTTATAGTTATCAAAATTTGGATACGTCAGAGAAAATTTGGTTTATTGAAATTTATGCAGAAAAATATTTTAATCTTGTAAAATGTAATAAAATTTTATTGAACACAGAAATTTTTATTTAGTTCCGTAGTAAATGAAGTTACTTATGACCTTAACATTATATTTATTATTTTAATTCAAGTTTATTCGTTCAATTTATTTTAATTTTATATTTCAAATAATTAAATCTGTATTTTATTTAAGAACAAATAAGCAAATACTATATATATCTATAGGTAACTCTATAAAATTTACCTAAAATCTATAGGAGAATAAAAATTTGTAGTTCGAGTATTTCACTATTAGTACAAAATAATTTTTCAATCGGCTATATGTCACTTTTTGTTAAAATTTAAAATAATGTATTCTATATTTCGACACTCATGATAGTCATCATCAGGATCAGAATCTAATACAAATTATTGTTAATAAAATCTATATCTAAACGTCATGCTCTAGATTCTATATATCGACCTTTATCTCGACCTATAGCAGGATATAAAATATATAAAAACCATTATAAAAAAAAACAGGTCTACTGTTTTTCAATTATATAGATAATGTAATGGAATCTAATAGAGTGTAATGGTATTATATAGAAAAATGGTTCTTGATGCATTTTTTCATTTATACTCTTTCCAGATTATAGTATGTATTACCGCACATTTAATTCAAAACTTAGAAGTCCAACTTTGACGTCAATGTCACCTGTTGCTTAGTTTTGATCATCACAAGAGAAATGGTTTAAAATCTCACTTACTTGAGATCGTAATTAAGCCTGCAGTGCCTTTTCAAAAACTTGTTGAACATTTTAAAATCAACTGTGCTCAGTGCAAGAAGACTATTTGAGACTACCTTCAGTATATCGATATTGCTGTTGGCCTGTCTTTAGTCATTACAATTCATCTAAAAGTTTTCTGATTGGACTTTCTCTGAGTATCTGAGTTTTTTCACTAAATGTTTCTTTGTTAGAGTACAGATGGGTTCAGTCCAGTTATTTGTATTCAATGTTTTCGTGTCTTTAATGTCCCAGAACCCTCTAAGTTGGTTTCTACCAATTATTAAGAAATCCTATATTGATGTCTAGATTCTTGAATGAATTTAAATAAAGCTTAAGGCTAGTAAGATTTTTTGGTTGTTCAATATTATTTTGATAGTCGCAATAGTTGTCTTTCTCCTCACACATACGTGAGCAAAAGTTCTGGTGGTAAATAATTGTGCCAGATATTTAAGTAGATATTTTTTTAATAGATTCACCTTTTTGAATGAAGTTTCTAGTTTGAAGGTCCTGTTCTAATATATTTAAACAACTTTACGTTTGAATTTATTTATATATGGGACTTGCTTACACTTACTTATTTGATTCATATATTCCACTCAAATTCTTCGTTTGGGAATATTTATTACGAATTTTTACATAAAATTAATTCTTGCTTAGAGATGTGTTTAAAGGGCTAAAAATTCAATTTTCAGAAATATTGTAATGCTTTAAAGTACTTACATCGTAGATGTAGATATAGTTTTCTTGTAACACGTTCCAGTATTAATAAACATTGGTTTATAGATACTTTTAAAAAATTTGTAATATTATATTAATATTAATATCAAGTAGTTAATGGAAACAAAGAAATTTGTATAACAAATTTTTATAAATTATATTCTTTTATTAAGCGATTAATGACAAAATAAATAAATAAAAAAATACTCATAATTAAGTTGAGTTACAGCGAAATTTGTTTTAATGTCAGAATGAACTAACAATATAGGAAAACACTGCGATACAATAGCATGAAAAATATAATAGTTTAAGAGTACAAATTTTTTATTATATTTGCCTGTGTAAAAGTGGAATGGCCTGGTTTGTAAGCACAAATGGAAGTCAAGGTCGAATCTTCTACGGAAACGGATTCCATATTTATGTCCTGCAGCACTGAAAGCAAGATAAGTACAAAAACATTGCTGCGCCGTTTTTCGCAGTACATTTGTAGTTGGCAAATTCGAAAGATACTTAAATGACAGAAATTGTTAAGGCACTTTCGGCATTTTTAAGGACTTCCATAAGGGCGGGAAATGGCGACTACAACTGTGCAATACGAGCACATTGTGTAATTGTTATGCACAACTGTGTTTCCGACAGATTTGGTTTATTACGAAACCGTCATTGCACATTAAAGTACTTAAGGTTAACTCAAGGCAAAATATCTGCCAGCAGTTTTATTTTACTTTTGATTTTGTGTGTTCAAAAAATTATCTCATTTTCAGTTGCTTAATTTATTAAAAATTATGTAGCATTTGCCGGCAGTATTTACGAAGACAATTAAATTTTAATATATTACTCACAAGTCTCCGTTATGTATATATTCCATATGCTAATAAATATTGAGATTTATAAATCCTATAAATACATTTTTTTAAACAATATGGTAATATAAATTTAAATAACATGTGAATATATATATTCACTGAGTAATAAGTTATGTTGAAAACCAATTACTCTTAAATGAAGTTTAAGTTTCACTGCGAAGTAGACTTAAAGTTATTCACGTTGGATAGCTAGTGACTGCGTCCACGGATTCACTTTAAATCTTTTTAGTCTGACCATAAAAACAATCGACTACATCTCTGTCTTTGTCTTGTTCGACTGGAAACTTGATTTCTATTTTGCATCTAAAGATACTTGGCTGTTGTAAGGTCTTTTATTAAGGATGGTTTTAGTATATACCACATACATACTGATGACAGTATATGGTATGATAGCAGGTAGTGCTATAGATAGTAGAGTTAACTCGAAGGGACAGAATAAATCTATATAAATCTATATAAGCTTTCTGATCACTGCTGTATCTTTCAAGTGGAGATGATTGCTATCATGGAAACTATAACTTGTCTGGAAGTGAATAACATATTAAATAAAAATATATACAAACTCTTAGATTATCAGACTATTTTAAAATGCTTGAGTTTAATACAATTTTTTGATTCAGAACAATTTTTGACAATTAAAAATCTTTGAATGAAATGTGGATGCAGTTTTACATTTATCTATTGTGGGTTTCTGGTCATAGGGATATTTTAAGCTATTTAAAATCAGACGAGCCTAGACAGGGTAGTTCAGGTAATTATTCGGTGTTCATTCGACCACGTTCTTTTAAAGAAAAATCCAACAATCTTATTAAGATGCGCCGTAAAGAAATTAGTTTTATGGTAGCCTTGCTTATTCGTCATCTTCGATTACGGAACCATGGCAGAAGATAGAATCTCCCATTTAAATATTCTTGTCGTAGTTATGGGGAGGACGATAAAAGTTTCTTAGACCTGCTTTGTTACTGCTCAGAGCATACGCGTCATCCACTGATCATGGTACAGGCTTATTTATTGAAGATCTTGAACATCTCCAGAACCTCCCTTTAAAGATTTTTTTTGGGTTTCGGCAAAGCTTTAGAGCAGTTTTTAAATGCTTTTCCGAAGTACTTTTCGAAATCTTACAATTAAAAACAATCTCCTAGAAGTTTTTTGTATGTTTAGTTTCCGTAGGGCTTGCGGTGGATAATAACAAAGCGATGTAAGCACGTTTTGAATTCCGTCTAACAGTTGCTAGAAAAATCATTGAAGCAATATTTAATCTGAAAGCATGTTTTCCTAATTGACAATGAACTGTCAGCAAATGTACTATAATATTGATATATCTACGAGCCATCGTGATCAAATTGTTAGGATTTTTTTAAGTGAGGATCATGTCGTTAGCACACCCTTTTTTATGTTTTTAAAAAAATAAAATTAGCTTTATAATAAAAATACTCTTCATATTATCAATATGTTCACTCAATCTTTTTGGATTCTCAAAGGGGTGTTTTCGAAAAGTGTTATTTAAAGACATAGTCCGTCCCTCATTTCCTAATAAATATATTGTACAAGATTTCTATTGTATTAGGTAAGTTTTTGACTACAGCACAAATATTTCATTTACTTTATAATAATATTTTATATAATATTTTTTTTAAATTTCAAATTTCTAAGGAATAATTACGAATACATTTTGTCTAAAGCTCTTAGATTTGCCTTATTCTACAATAACTGTAATATTCTATTATAATTACTAAAATATATACAAAAAATGAATAAATACCTGTTCAATAGACTATGAAGCATGTATATGCATACTCCAAACTCATTAAAAATGTTATTTATTGTTCAATACAAATAGTAAATAAGTTGAAAATGATAAAAAAACCAATAATTATGGAAACTCAAATTTGCAAAAAATTCATTTAATTTTGTATTAAGTTACTGGTCGAATAGCCATTACAACGTTCTTTAAAGAGTAGTACACTCCACGCCAGGAGGTCCAAACTACGCCGGTTGCGTATTTAGATTCCTCATATTTGCCTCCCAAATACACACCATTCAAGTTGCTAAAATATATAAAAAGGTTAACTAAACAACTAAATATATATCTTAACTAAACCAAAGACATTTGTCTTACCTGACATGGCAGTCTCGATACCACCAACAACCTTTAAATAAATCAGCACAATTTCTTTCCAAGAGATCATTGTCAACGTCACCTGTTGTAAATTTCATACCTTCATGATAAGTGAATGAATCACCAGCATCTCCACTATAATTCCCCAAAATTTTTATATCATAATAAGTGGATTCATCGCCTATGGCAAATGAATCATACTTTGCGTAACGTTTCTCTCCTTCAAAATCTTCCATATCAAACCATAATTCATGTAGTTCAGATTCAGTTATGGCATTTAATTTCTCTAAACCAATGAAAAATCCACCATTCAAATTACCAAAACCTTTTTGGTATGTTTTCCAATCACGAATATTCGAAAAATCAATTCCACCCTCTTGGCGACGTTGAATTACCGTCCAAGCGGTTCCATTATTTGGATCGTTTAGGCAATAAA